CATCATTCTCTTTGTCATCACCCCCTCCTTTCCTCTTTGACTGTCACATTTTCGATCCATTACGATTTTATATATATATATGTATCACTACAAAAAAAATATATAAAAGGATTTAAAGTAAATTAATAATTTTGAACATTCTCCATCCGAAATATTATGAACAGAACAACGTACTTTTAAACAGTATAGCGTATCAATTCATCGTATTTTTTTTATAAACGTGGAAACTCGAAGTCACTATCTTTCAAATGTGTATTGGGTAAATCTCCACTCTCGTATAATAGATTGCAGACCGCACACAAAATCAACGTTAGAGAATTCGAATTCCCAACATTGAGACTAAAGGGTTTTGTACTCAACTCATGTGTTTTCTGTAGAAATAAAATGCGGAAATAAAATAAGACAAATAGAAAAGAACGAAATTACTTTTATTGCTACATCTCTTCTTCTTCTTGTTCCATTACAATGAAAATAACTCACATATTTATAGAAAAATTAACAAATGAAATAAAAGGAAATATAGATATAACGGAAATAAATATGATTCACAATATTTAACATAATATTGTGTTCCTCCAAAATCTAGATTTTCCTCCAATCACATATTCATTTTCCTACTTCAACATTCCCCCTCAAGATTGATTTTGAAAGAATGCAAAAATCAATCTTGAAAAGATAATGCGATAAAAATCCATAGACATTTTCATTGTCTTTTGAAAAATCCATAAACATCAAATTTAGTTCTTTTAGAGAATATTACCCATGTTCAAATCACTTCGCTTGACTTTGAAGTTCTACCTTTAACTCTTTTTGTCATAGCACCTCGCTTGATCTTAGAGTTTTTAGGTTTGACTTCTTTTTGTCACAGCACCTCGTTTGATTTTGGGATTTTTACTCCTATTTGAACGATTTGGATATATGAACATCCAAAACTAAAAAAAAAAAGAGATTGAGAAAAAAAGATATAGAGCAGATCGAACCAGGCTCTGATACCATGTAGAAAAATAAAATGCGGAAACATAATAAGACAAACGAAAATAAACGGAATTACTTTATTGCTACATCTCTTCTTC